GGGGGAAGCAATATGTATTACTATATGTTTGCTATGAAAAGTAACACTGACTGCTTTGACTGAACCCGGATTCACTTTTCTTTACCAACTGCATTGGCGAAAAAAGAACAATTTACCTGTCCTATTCAGAGAGTGCCTTTCAAAATAAAAACCTAATTGTCACCTACAGTTTCCATCTATATACAAATGAAACTCACACATACGAGCAACAATTTGCCAAACTTAAAAAAATGAAAACATTTAAACTGATGAATATAGTAACTAATTTTCTAAAATATTCTTAAAAGAAATCACACGTTTCAATAATCATCTTTTTAACCTGTATTACTCAGTAACTGTAAAACAATAGTTTAAAATCAAATTGGTCAAAAGTGGCCTAATCTTTAACCCTTGCATTTCAGGCTACAGGTGGAGACAGTCTGAATCTCAGCTGGAATCTCAGCCAAACAGGTGCGTCTGAGAGCATACCCCTTACACTCAAGATATCTGCCCCCTGCCCCCCTCCCGCCCCCCTCCCAAATCCTTAGGGAAGGATTTTTTCCTGAATGGCTGCAGCTTCTGAGCAGAGGTTGCAAATGCACTCAGCTGGTGATGAATCCTGGGGGGTGTCTTCCTCTTTTTATTGAGGGGCGGGGGGGTGTTAAAGTTAGTATCAGCCCACATAGAGCCAAGATGTCAGCAGGTAGCAATTTGCTGCCAGGTACCATCCTGTGAAAATAACAAAGAGGCATTTTATAGCAAAAAGCAAAGTAGCTGCAGGATAAATGATCTAAAACCGATATCGAGCACTGTTCTCTATTTAAAGAGTACCGGGTTATATTTACAAGCTTTAAAATGAAATACCAGCATCATCAAGCATTCCTGAAAAATAGAAATAATTTCAAACATAACCTCACAGAGTGTTTCTCCTCGGTCTTTTCATGTATATATTTTTTTACATTAGCATGTATTTTGATTTCATAAACATTTAAAAGGTAAAGCAATTCAAAATTTTCTGAGAAAATAAAAAAGAAATAAGTATGAAATAGAACAGAATACACATCGTATCAGTGTCATCTCTGTGTCATTATTGTTTTTATGATTTTTTTCTTATTAAACATATGGCCTACAAGTGCTGGTTAAAGAGTTAATACTTAGCAGATTTCCCCTGTGCAAAGACCTGTTGGATACTACTTCCTGTACCATATATAACACAGAGAAGCATTTGGGTTGAGGCCACATTGATGAAACCCTGTGCTGTACATCAATTATGTATGCGAAAGCAATAGAGTGCAGGTCAACGAGACAGGGACTTCATATTTCAATGCAGAAACAGGTAACGCTAATCTACTCTGTTAGTATAATGAACTGCTGGAGTCAATATGAAAACACTTGAGGGAGTCATGTTTGTCTAAGAAAGAGTACTGGAATAAATCAAGCCCTTCAGGGGAAAAAAAATTAGACAATGACCAAGAAGACCAATATAGCTACCTTTGCTGAAGTAGCCCGGAGTTTAAGAAGACGTTCAAAGCAAGTCATGCATTATGATTCTATTTAGACAAGTTGAAGGTTACTAAAAATGGAAGGATCTTATGTACCAGTTAACTGTTTAAATTCATGCAGATTAAGATTTTAACAATGTATTATAAGTAATCCATAATTATGTAAATGTTTCAGACAGTAGAAGCTTGAAATATACTATTTAAGGCTCCCAAGTTATCAAACAAAATAATATGTGTCCTGGATTTTTGTACATTGAAATGCATGCAGTGTCATTAAAAATCTCGTTCCCAGGCCACGCACATTGGAGTGTTAAAGATCAATTGGCCTTCCATTCATTTTGCGCATCAAACAAATCAAACAGCGGTATGCAGTATATCATGATTAAAATCTTAGTGGAAGATAATTTGCATAATATAACATATGTACAACAAACATTTTTTTTTTCTTTCATACCTGGTTCACAACTGGAATTTAATAATATAGCATCGAACTCAATTTTCTTGTTTGGGTAATTTATGTTTGCTGATTGGCTTTTTGTGCACACAGCAGTGGCTTTTGCTAACATGCATTTACAAATGTGAAACTTATACCAAAGAAACCTATAATCAGACATAAATCAGCACCTGACTATTTAATTCACTATATTTGACGGAACAGCAAGATAACTGAAAATTAAAAATTAGCCGTTTTGCTTACAGATAAATAATTTCATATGATTATGCAATAGACTGCTGATTGTTCTGGGATGTCAGAGTATTTAGTTAGCAAATTACGAACTCAAACTCTTCGTATTGATTGATATCTGTCTGGATTGTGTCTCTGAACTGGAAATGCAGTAAAAATTGCAGAGAATTTTGTAATTATAAAATGCGTTTGTTTTTTTTTTAAAGAGGATTATTCAATGTTTAATATAGTTCTTCCAAAGTAATCCGTTCCAGATACTTTGTATAATTGGTGGTGCTGATCTTCACCATTTTCAATGAAGCCAACTATTATAGCTCACAGCTGCAGAAATGACTCACTAAGATCAGTCACCAAGACCCACCACCATCATGTGGAGGTCAGGATGTAGCCCTGGATCTACAGTTACGTCCCGGTATGAACAATTTACAGCAATGGGGGCAGGAGTCAGGGGTAGTTGGAGGGTCACTGGCTTAACTTCGGGGTCACATCTGTTCAAGAACTCCCTCACCTTTCACTTCACCCCACATCAACATTTTATTCACAGAAGAATCATCCAGGGACTACCATTCAATGCTTAAAGTTAATTGGAGGGGAAAAAACCACAATGAAACAATGAGTTTTTAGAGTAAAATAAACTTATATTAATTTAGAAGCAGACCAATGTGCTGCGGATTTGTGGATACTACGTATTAACTTATGTTTTTTATATTTATTTATAACTTGCAATATTTTATAAAATATATAAATAAGGATCTGCACAAGTTATTTGCATGTGCATAACCATGATATGCCACACATTAAAACATCCTCAAACAGACTCAATGGCTACGTCAGAATAAAAGCAGTCCTACAATTAGACATCATGGCCTCGGCGTTTCAAAGGCTGATCCTGTCCCTTCTTGCACTCTCTTTGGTCTGGCTCGTGCGATAGCACGCCGAATCGATCAGCCCCGGCTTCAGCCCCACACTTAATTACTTTTGCATTGTGCGCAAACAAGATTAAAAAGTGACGCACCAGGGAATTCTCCTTTATTATTTGTCTTTATTGTTGTCACTGTGTGTGTGTTAAATTCCCTGGGAGTGTCTGGGCAGAGGTCTTATAATGCTCAAATTAATGTTTGATTTTGGAATTACAATTTAATGGAATGTGTACGCACTAATAAAAAAAGGTTACCTACATTTCGACAGTTGTATACATAATTAATTGCCTTTGTTAACAAATGAGATGTCTGAATGAAATGGCCATACGTAGTCCAGCAACACATCCGACATTCCTCTCACAGTGGCTCTCAGGTAACATTGTGAGTAAATACTGTACGGACACTGCTATAATACAGTTTTTGATGAACTTCATCTGCTGCTACTTTATTCTTGTTCACCTTTAGGTTTGTTTGACACATACATGATTTGAAAACCACGAGGAAAGACCAAGTTCCCCTTTTCAGCAAGAAAAGACAATCCAAGCCTTGTAATGTATAAATCAATAGAACCCAGCATAGGCGAAAGCTAGTTCCCCAAAAGTAAACCGAAATACAGCACCATCGGTATTTTAACGAGGTCAGGTGTTTCAAATACCTCTCTCATCGAACATCCCGTTCGATCCAGTGAGATCCCTCATTGTGGAAACCCACATGCACAGCTGAAACATAAAGAATATTTTGTAATGCTCTACATGAACTACACCTTCATAATGCATTCATTATGCATTCATAGCACATTCATAAGCAGCATACAAGTATACCTTAACATTCTGTCATACATTAACCACTTAATATACTTTAATGACAAGCATTATATGATTAAACAATTAGAATGCTTGTTATTATCATATAATGTTTGTTATTAATGTAAATTAAAGCTGTTAAAGCATGTTATGATGTTATGATACTTACATGCTGCTTATGAATGCTTTATGAATTCATTATGAAGGTGCACTGAATGTTCTATGAATGTATAATGAATGCATTATGAAGATGCAGTTAATGTAAAGGTGCCCCAAATATTTCTATAACATTTCATTCATCTGACGCTTTTATCCAAAGCGACCTAGACTAAAGGGAAGGGTTACAATTTTTGTGCACTCTCCTAAGATTTGAACCCATAATATTTGCTTTGTTAGTACAATCCTCCACATGTGGAGTTTCAGAAGTGTTCAAACCGAGACCAAATTTGAGATAAAATGGCAGGGAGAATCAAGGGCTCCTGCTTTCACTTTTAGGCACAACAGGTCACACCAGAGACACGAATAAGTCGGCCATGGGCGCTCCCGGGCACGACGACAATTGGGTCTGCTTAGTAAGCAGATCAAATGATTTAAGGAATGTTTGGTGACTGATCGCAAAGTCTGATATTTAATTATACCTTGTTTATGAAGGGAAACTGTTCACATTGTTCTGATATTTTCAGAACAGAGTTATTTTCAGGTTGAATGTTGTTCACTTAAATTACATTAAATATTTAAAAAGACAGGAGCAAAGGGGGTGTCTGTAAATTGTAACCCCTGTACTGTAAGTTGCTTTGGATAAATGAATAGATGTAAACACACGCGTTTAATATTCTTGAAATTTTAATTGTGATTTGCTTAGGTAATGAGCATACTCATTACAGTTACATAATTATCAGCTCATCACAGTGAAAGACGGGTATAAAAGTCTGTTGTAAATACAAATCAATTCATACATATTCAATAAACAATTATGCTTTTTGGGTCAACAAGGGTCATCTAATGTCAAGAAGTATGGGATGTAGGGCCACGCTGGATGGAAAACTGTCCCATATTTTCTTGAGATTGAAAAATGGACTTCTTGAAGAAGCCTATCAGAAAAAAGAGAACATGACAACCCCACACAGACCAGGGGACAGATCCAAATCCTTATACTGAATATCTGTGAGTTAACTAAGAGTCTAACTCTCTAACCCACCAAAAACCATTCCTTCATATGCATCTACATAGATTTTATTAGCTGTATTTTTTCCATTACTGCTAGAATATCACTGACTCTTCTGTTTATAAACCATTTACAGTTATAAGAATGCAAATTGTAACATACGCAGCTTAAAGAACATTAATCATTCAATAACTAATATCAGTTTTTGTGTATCTAGGTCATCTCAATATTTTTACATTTTTATATATTGTATCTCACAATTAAGATATTAAGTTATGGTTCTCTGGTCCAATATACCACCTTCCACTCAGTGTGGTTCTAAGTGGCTAAAATTATGTTACAGAGACCTCTACTGGATTAGAATCATACGTGCAATTGTGTTACTCCTCTTTTTGAACATCGGGATAATTTGGTGCTGTGTATTTTAGATCTTCTCTGTACTAAATTAAGCAGCTAAGGGTCAGGAGAGGGTCCAGAACAGGTCTGAACAGGAACAGCCTGTGGGTACCTGCAATGGTAAAATTAGGGTGACCCAAACCACGGCGTGTTGCATAAGGAATAAAGACAATTAAACAAATACATTCTGACATTAACAAAGCGTAACTCAACAAATACGAGCCCTTTAAACTGACCCCTATTACACTGTTCAACATATTAGTTGAATGCAAAATGTCTAATTTTCCACAATTTTTAGTTGATTCATTCTATACCTCTTGAAAAACTGTAGTGGTTTATAAATATTGCCTTATTCTAAAGAAAAGGCACATAAATTGAATTATGTACAAACCAAGAAACTTACATATATTACTCCATACTATATATGACCGGTAATCTATCTTCAGTGTATCTTTGAAAATGACCAGTCCAGAGTCGTTAACTTTACAATCTATCATCAGTCATATTAAAATGAAAAAAAGAAATTTAAGAGCTGAAAATGCAGCATGAACACAGCCAAATATTTCCCTCCCAGGTGTATTAATAGAAGAATAGTGCCTGGACATTGTAGGAAAATTTAAGCAAAGTGATTCTGCCAAAACAACTTACAATATTTAATTATTAATACACCTGGATATTTTACTGGAACAATTCAGATTAATGAGAGTGCATGTCCCTAACGTTGCCCCTAACAGGCCTGTGTACAGACAGGATTTTTAGCTCACTTTTAAACTGTCAACAACTGCAGGTCTGAGAGAGGATGGTAAATTAGTTAAATTAGGCAAATAATTAGTTCAATCGAGTGCTTAAGTGCTTAGGGGGAATGAAATCCTGCGTAGGCACCAGCCCTTCTGGGCTAGGATTTGGACCTCCTGATTTAGGCCACGAAAAGGCTTGAGCATGACTGCCCCCACTGGGCACAAAGTACTACTGCAGTCCATCAATTTACCAGTCAAGAGGTCTAAGGATTGCATTTCATAGTCTGTATTTTTGGCTAACAGTACAGTTTGTTTCCACTTATTAATATCTTTCTTATCCTAAAATGAACATGGTTATTTAAAAAGATAATGGCCGGATCTTCTAGTTTATGCTTAATGTTGTTCATATTTCTGCAATTCATAAATGTGTTTACTTCTGTCATTCTAAACACATTTCATTGAAACACAGGATTTATTATCGCAATAATTATAGAAATCGTTCCAGCATCATTTAGCACAAATGACAGCATAATGCTGTTGATCAATAAGCCATGCTCCTTGTTGAATGAATATATTTGCAGTCTTTAATATTTACGTGCTGTACATCAATTGGGGGGCTTGGAGAAACACAAAGCATACTTGACAGTTGACATTTATTATCGCTACATTACTCTGCTTTACTACTGAGCGGTCTTCCGATCACTGAACACTGCAAGCCACAGTGTGAAAACACTGCACTGCTTAACATTAATTTACCATTAATTAATTTGTACTTCACAGTCTGCGCAGCGTACATCTAAGAAACAAGTGTATTCTGCAGGAACAAAAGGGAACCCAGATGCAGACCGGCTCATCCCCACTGGGAGTTCACTCCTGTGACTTACTCTGCCTGACCCCTCCTCTCCCCACCGACCTCAACGCTACTACACTTGATAAAGAGCACCTGGCCACCAAGCACGGCCCTAGCAGCCCACATACGTACCATCAACGAGTACATAATGCAGCCTCTCACAGAAGGCTCTGTCTGCCGACGAGTGCATAGCTAGTAGAAGCGGGCTCAGAACAAGGTTCCTTTCTCCATGTAATGGCAACAACCTCAAGAGGGATGGAGCTTTTAAAAGAAACCTAAGTAAGGGCGATCTTAAAGGGGACGTTTAGTGAAAGCACCATTTCTCGCAAATGTACAATTGCGGATGAAGTATGCATGAATAGAAAAGAGAGGCCAGGTCCCAGGTGTTATTTGTACTGAGTTTATCGCCACAAAGTCCTCAACCAACATATCTTTGTGCCAATAAATTATCAATGCAATTCATATTTACACAGGGATATAATTAAGAAGCACTGCATATAATACGGTAACAGTATTGTGTTTGCTGGGGGTTTAAATCCCGTGCTCACTTGGTGTATCTGTGGAGCTTGTATGTTCTCCTTACGTTGTGAAGATTACCTCAGTTTACCTCAGGCTACTCCGGGTTCCTCCCGTAGCCAACATGCAGTTAGATGAATTAGTCTTTCTAAATTGCCCGTAATGAGTGTGTGCGCCCTGCAATGGACAGGCATTCCATCCAAGGTGTTCCCTTGCCTTGCGCCCGTGACCTTGTACTGGGTAAGTGGCTGAAAGATGGATGGGTAAACACATTCGGTCATTTATCAATCCACCACCCTTTGCCCTAAACTAGACATGGCATAAACTGTGGTTACAAACATCGATTAGGAAAACCAATCAGCCTTTATTCGAAAACCATTATTTGAACAAAAAAGAAAAATTAGAGTCAAGCATCGTCTACCAATGGGGATGCGTTCTGAGAAATGCGTTGTCGGGTGATTTCATTCTTGTGCGAACATCGTAGAGTGAGTGTATTTACACAAACCAAGATAATATAGCCTACACTTCTAAACTACAGTAAAGTTTTTAGTAAGTAGAAACAGTGAACTCTAAAAAAAAACATTTTAAAGTACAGTGTAGTACATATATAAACCAATAAAATTTATCATCACTATCAAGTATTATGTACTGTACATAATTGTATGTGCTGTACTTCAATGCAGTTGGCAGTAGGTTTGTTTACACCAGCATCATCACTAACACGTGAGAATTGCGTTGCACTACTACATTACAATGGCTATGACTTCGCTAGGGAATAGGAATTTTTCACCTCCATTAAAATCTTATGGAAGCCCCATTGCATTTGCAGTCCATCGCTGACCCACATGCTGTAATGCAGGACATGCCTGTACTAAGCTTTCCTGACTTTAATGTATTCACCCGGCTGATTACCTCCTAAGGTGCTGCTTCTGCTGACAAGCGCAGTTCAGCAACCACTGGTCCATGCTCTGCTACGCCCACTAAACCTGACAACACTGAATGCACTGATAAAACTGCAGAATGCATTGACGGGATAGAGGGAAATGATCATCGCCATTCAGCTGTGGCTCTTTTTAAGCTCACTGTGGCACTAAAGATTAATACGTAGCATGACACTAAGCATTTTTACAATTCGCTGTATGCTAAGAAGCACAATGTACAAAGGCAGCACAGTAGTTGCTTGATGCCAGCTCACCCACACCCTCATTCTTGACACTGGGCCACCACCAGAGGGGAGGGGGGGGGCACAGAGGAAGCTGCCAAACAGCCAGATTCACCTGTGGAAGGCCGGGCAAACATGTCACTTTTGATGGTTTCGCCGCTATTTCCATAGCAACCTTTTGGAGCCATGCTGGGCCCATCAACAAAAGCCGTGGATTGAAAAACAATGCAGCTTCATAGACTGCGGGTGTGAAGCAGCAGTTTGGTGCCTGATTTCTTTAGGAGTTTAATGCAAACAGCTAATAAAATTAAAATCTCCTGAACTTTGCTGGTTCGCCCAGGTGGAAGTGTCAGATAATCCTCTTTTTTTTTTTAAAACAAAGACACAGCATGTGCACGAAAGGCAACATAGCATGACGATTTTTCACACACAGGCTGCATCATACCAGAACCTCAAAAAGTCAACCACAGTTTACACAATTTGACTACCTCCTTAGAGTTTAGTGGCAACGCATGGCCTTGATATTCTCACCAATGGCCAGTGTCTTCCTATGACGTGTGTTGACCTTTTGGTGACCCCAGGCCAGGATCCTCCCGATAATGTGGAGTAGGGGAGTGGGTCACAATCAGCATACAACAGCTGTCCTCACTTTGCCACCATGCAAATCACCCAAATAGGACCCACCCCGGCAACTATCAATCCTAAAAGGAACAGAGAATACACCAAAGTACAAACAGACACACAGAGAAATATTCACACCTCCCATTTCCATTCAGATGTTCATTTTGCCCTGCATCTTTCCATGAAATATTTTACAAGATGTAAGAGGCCATTTCTACCAATAAGGACTATTATGCCACTAATTTGGACTCTCTCTCTCTCTCTCTCTCTCTCCCACACACACACACACACACACACACACACACACATTCAAACGTTTCTATTAATCTATTCAATACTATGGGTATAATCCTAACCCTAACTATGATACCCTTAACTGCTACTTGGCCCTAATACTAACCATAAGTAACCAAATGAGATACAAGGCTTTTGTCTATTTTAGTTTTTTGATTGCAGTCACATTTTTTTTTTATAAAATTGAGGTTTATATTGTGGAGACCTGAAAAATGTCCCTGCAAGCTTAAAAGTAACAGGTTTTACTACATTGTGGGGACATTTGTCTCCTAGATACACATGCATGCTCCTTTCGGGAAAAAGAGCCACAAACACCATAATTGGTAATGCATGCTGCCAGCCTAGCAAACATACAGTATCTGAACAAATAATATAAATATAAACAGCACATCATGAGAGCCAAACGACATTGTAACTCAAAAATTGTGCCTGTAAATATAACAAAAGTACAGTTTTAATGTTGCAATATCACATTGGAATATCAGTACACTTCTACAAACACGCAGTTGTACGCAGTTGTGTCAATAAAATATACACCGAGTAATGTGTGAAAACCATTACAGACACTTCAAGAAATTTATGCAAAAGTGACAAAAACTGTTAGTCTCTTCGGGAGAACAGCTGGGAGCTGAGTTTCAGATAAGATACATCCAATTTATGCACCCAGAGTTACAGCTGAAAGCATTTTGCGGGTTTTAATGCCTGGTCCCAGTAAAAAGCTCATGTCAGTTCATTACTGGAACGAAACCTGTTTTTCTTTTAGGTCCGGGGTCAAATTTGTCTACTTGAGAACAAAATTAGAGTTTTGTACGACAACCAATGCAGCAATACCTTTAAATGGCTTACAGAAGTACCTTATAGTATGGTGACAAACCTGCCAAATTGTTCTTGTCGGTGTTCAGCAAGCAGAGGCCTTTCTGCAATCTTGCGCTACAGTATCTACGGCGTTTATTTTACTACTGTTTTTCTCCACTAGAGTGCACCATAAGCGCCTCGCTGAGTATCTTTTCCCAACGGGAACACGGAGAGCTGAATAACAGGACTCCACCCAGCCACTGCCAGTGACATATTGCCCCAAAAGGGTGCGTTGACAGCAGCATATGTTGCCAACATATTGCAGAACTCCTAAACTCGTTAATAATGTAGCACTTCTCCTACTCACATCGTTAACTTTAATTTTATGTTATAAACAAATGATCATTATTTTCATGATTATTCGCGCACACCGTATGTCATCTAAGACTAATGGCAAATACTTCCAAAATGTATGTTTTAATTTAAACAATTTATCTGTAAACCAGTGTATGTGAAACTTCTTATTGCAAGATATTGATGTTTACCATAAATCAGTTACCACGTGATGCATTTGTTAAACTACATTATAAAAGTGAGATATTAAAATTAAACTGATGGAAAAATACAAATAATATATTGACGACTGTATTTGATACTGTCACCTGCCACTGTAATAATAATTTCGTGGTAGTATATTCCTTTTTAATTCAGAGTAAATAAAAGCAAAAGTGTTGAGGAAACTCATAGTGTACGCCTAAGTACGTGGGTAACTTGTTGCAAGTTTCTTGGCGAGCGCCCCGTATCTTTCCGCGTTTCATTGCTCCGTCCAAGAAGGTGGTGTTGCTGCAACTTAGGTTACAACTAAGCGGTCAAAACTCACTGGATTAAGCCTAAAAGCTGGAGGGTCTGTCAAATGAAGAAACATTAAGAGGAAAAAGTCTACTCTCCTGTAATCGAAAGGGGCACATTTGCTTTTTTATTGAATGTTAAGCCAGTCTGACGACTCTACCTTGTTTCAGCCCACTGAGAAAGAAATGCATGTTTGAGGAATCGATTAAACGAACTTTACAGCAAGGTTTAAATACGACAAATAAATGCAACTACAATGGCAATTAAGGTAGGAGAAACCTGTTTAATGATAATTGCATGTTCTGATATATTTATTCATTTTTAGTGCCTACGATGGTGTTTAACTAAGATCACTGACTTTACTAAACTTTCTTTAGTTTCACGTTTTGCTGGGTGCCCACTGGATTAAGCCTTAATTAGTTGTACTTTAAGTTAATAGTTTTGTTGTTATATTTTCTCTAAACCCTCGCAGTGAAACGAATGAATTTGTTTTACATAAAATGTAAATATTTGTATGTTGCAAATCCTAATCATTGGCGCCGCACAGGGAACTCTGGGATATGTAGTGCATTTGTGCATTACCGTAGATTCAGAGCATTGCTAGGAATACACGTAAGTATTATAATATTGAATTACCCTTGCGACCATGACAAGAATGAACGTTTAGATGGATGGATATTGAACAATGACCGTAAACTGCCACAAACTGCATAATTATCATTCAAAAGCGCACTGTGTGCATACAAAAACAATACAAAGTAGACCGTTTGATGTACTGAATCTGAATATTGTTTTTAATATTTGTTGTTCTTTATCGAGGTTGTTTTTAAGGCTGTGTTTCTATTTTAGCACAAGGGCGTTTGTCACACTTATTCAGCGTTTTCCCCACCCTTAATTACGTTGAGTGAAAAGATTAACACCCTCGCCTGGCACTTTGGAAAGGACCAGAGATGCCATTTGGATACCGCATGTAAACGAATGGTGCAGGATGATCGATTTCGTGAAAGGGGAAGACTGGTCACGCAGTCTAAGAAAAGGTTATAGACAACTGACCTTTTCCCACCCCTTTGGTCCTGCACCTTTCTGTACAGCTCTAAAAATTGACTTTTACAACTGGCCAGGATTAAATTAAATGGAAGCCCTTGTGCAGCTGATTTGAAACTGAAAACCAAATGCCATGTTTATGAATGTGAGCCAGGCTCCGGTGAAAACGTTAATTTTAGGGCCACTCTCTAGTGTAACCATCCATGGGTGCAAGAGGAAATTAATAAATCGCACATCGCTCATGGCAGGGCCTTGACTGGGAGACAAGGACCGCTTTCAGTTTACGGTGATTGCTTAAAATGTGCATTTGTGCGAATGCGCCTGATATATTTCAGTCAATTAACGCTAGACAAATTAATTGTTATTCATTCTCATTGGAAGGGTGGGTGGTAGGGCTGGACAATTAATCAAATTTTAATTTATATTACGATTTTGGTTTCCAACGATAACCAAAACAAGATAATCGCGATAAAACTATTATTGTGCCACATTAGGTTTGCTCTGTTTTGCCTTGTGTTATAGGCCAAAATCCAGCGCAGCCCTTTCCAGCCCCTTTTTATTTATTGCTGAATAAAATTATATTTCGAGTTCAAGGAAATCTACTGTTAAAAATCCAAATTTTCAAATCTAAGTTCAATAAATGCATGATATTTCCAAAGTCAATGAGTTATCATGTTAAAATGTGATGGACTGGCATCCTGTCCAGGATGTACCACAACCTTGTGCCCTGGACGGGATGTCAGTGCCCTGTGATGGACTGGCGTGCTGTTCAGGGTGAACCCCAGCCGTGTGCCCTGCGCTGGACCGGCGTGCTGTTCAGGGTGAACCCCAGTCGTGTGCCTGCGCTGGACCGGCGTGCTGTTCAGGGTGAACCCCAGCCGTGTGCCTGCGCTGGACCGGCGTGCTGTTCAGGGTGAACCCCAGCCGTGTGCCTGCGCTGGACCGACGTGCTGTTCAGGGTGAACCCCAGCCGTGTGCCTGTGCTGGACCGACGTGCTGTTTAGGGTGAACCCCAGCCGTGTGCCTGTGCTGGACTGACGTGCTGTTCAGGGTGAACCCCAGCCGTGTGCCTGTGCTGCCTATGATAGGCTCCCTGTGACCCTGATAAAGCTAAGTGGACAGAAGATGGATGAATAGATATTTCTCATTGAATAGAGACTGGGGAGGGTGGGCCCGGGCCCTCTACTGTTTGTGCTTTAGTATATATAAGTCATGAACTAAGACCTTGTTATAGATTGTCATTGATGAACAGAGGTGGACATTCCAGGTGCAGAAAGTAAAAATCCAAACCAGGATTTTATTTCAACCAACCAGTTGAGTATAAAGAGTCATAGTCACGGAGTGGTTGATTGAAACAAATTCCGTTAGTGACCCTTTTTACTTCCGTGTACCAGCCGTACATTGTGCCATGGCCCTGCTCCAGTAGGGGTGCTGGAAGCAGAGTAGTAATGGACTTGACCAGTAGCCTAGACATAACCAAATTGTCCCCAAGGGATTTTGCTTCAAGTCCTATAAGGAGAACGAAATCCCCAGCTGTTATGCAGCCTGTTCTCTATGAAAGCGCATCCTGCTCAGTAACCGTAACTGTTGCAATAATCATAATAATCATCAATCCATCCGTCTTCCATTTACTAATACTCATTAGTGTTGGGAAAGTGGGTCAGAAGGCTGAGGTTCACCCTGCACGTGAGGTCAGTGCATCACAAAGAATAAATATGCAAATTATTATGGCAAATGATGGCAATTTAGAGAAGCCAGCTATCCTAACTGCATGTGTCTGGACTGCAGTACCTGGAATATTCCTGTGCGATGCCTAGAGAATATGCAGACTCCTTGAACAAAGTGGAGGGTGGAGCCAATCCACCAGGCATGAGGTGTGAGGCAACAGTGCTACTCACTGAAGCACCATGCCAGTATTACTATTATAATTATTACTACTACTACTACTACTACTACTACTACTACTACTACTACTACTAGTAGTAGTAGTAGTCATAGTAGTAGTAGTAGTAGTAGTAGCAGTGGTGGTATTGGTATTATTAATTGGAAATCTGATTGGAGGATCTGTCAGTAGGTCATCTTTTCTTTGTCATCTGTAGTTTCGTTGACTCTGGTGGATACGCTTACTGTAAGGGGAGGAAACTTTGCTTGATTAAGGGTGTCACCGTTTCACAGGCAGCAGTGGTAATCCAGTCCAACTTGTTCAGCTCGTTCCTGGATCCTCATTCACCAGTTTGCCATTAGCGATGATGCAGTGCACTTCATTCCTGTTTTATTCCTATTTATTTCTATTAATGTCATCGATCTTATTGTGTGGGTATTAAGGACAATGAGCTAAGTTGCTTTCGATGAAAGTACCATCATATTTAGAAATATATATATATATATATATATATATATATATATATATATATATATATATATATATATATATTAATAAATATATATACAAGTAGCATGCATATATTTATATATATATATACAGTATATATATATATATATATATTTTAGTGTGTATATAGATCTGTCTTTCTGATTGTTATTTTTCTAAAGTTCGAATTTATTTGAGTTATTGAATTTTAAGTTGCTATTGTGAATTTGCATGAAAACTTGTAATTTATATTTAGAATCAGTATTTTTCAAAGCGCATGTCTGCATTAAAATGATTTTATTATTATTACGAACAGTGAATTGACCTCATTAAAACGTGACATGGGTCTCATGCTACTTTAGGTTGATTGACCCTCAATGCTCTTTGCTGTATATAATGTCAGTCCTTCTTTGGCGTTACCTGAGTTTGTCAGGGTCCACACTGATGCATGATCACTATTATTTTGTCCTTTTTCTCATCTCATCTCATCATCTTTCCTCATGGGCAGGCTCTGGTTTTGTACGACTTTACTGCGGAACCCGGGAACAATGAGCTGACGATAAAAGAGGGTGAGATGGTCACCATTACCAACCAGGTGAGAGTTTACAGAGTTATGTCACACAGGAATGATGTGATTGGCTGTTGTATATAGTGTCGGGATGTGACTCAGCAGGTTAGGAGGCTGTACCTGTTATCGGAAGGTTACAGATTCGATTCCCAGGGTTAGCAGATCGATGCCTTCTTAAATTAATTGGGAACTGTCTGACGCTGTCATCTCGATTGTACATCTCTTGAGGTAAAAACGTTTAAATCACATGTACTTATTTAAAATCTGGGATATTGGTTGTGCCTGAAATCATCACACTTGGGGCCAAGGTACGGTGCAGTGGGCTAAGCCTCCTCGCCGGTCATCAGAAGGCCGCTGGTCAAGCCCAACCTTGGCATGTCTCCGGTTCCTTGAGCAAGGCTGTTAAACCCCAGCTCCCTATAAGTGCCTAATAGTACGACATACAAAACAGCTGATGTTGATGAATGAAATCCCAGTAGGGGAATGAATGTTACACCGGTGAACATAATATTAAAGTAAATGCTTTTATATGAAATAAGTGTTTTTTATGTGCATTTAAAAATGTTTGACTAAACGAAAACTTTCATAAGGACGTCTTACAAGGGCTCTCTCTCAGAATATAGGTGGGGGGTGGATTGAAGCCCGGAATTCACAAGGGGAAACTGGACTGGTTCCAGAGGAATATATCGAGGTAAGACAATCAAACGTAGACTCCTCTTTTGTATTTCCTGTAATCCATTGTAGTGTGGTTTCTGTCACTGATCACAGTTTAAAAT